GAGGTATGAGCCTCGTTCATCGACGAACGGGACGATTGAATCGCGACAATTGGGACGATCGGCGCTAACGGCGTAATTAACGAGGCTGCCGTATAATGATTTCCCAGTGACACAGTCGCGTCAACGTGTCTGCCACGGCGATTTCGTTTAACGAGACTGAATGAAATTCGTTTTCGTCCTCGGCGAGATTTTTTTCTCTCCGAGGAACGATTGGTAAAAAATACGCCGTTTTTCTAAAAAAAAAAAACAAAGAAAAAAAAACAAAAGAAAAGAAGGAAGGAAGGAAGGAAGGAAGGAAGGAAGGAAGAAAAAGATCGTTATCTATTTTTGCGGACAATTATATTAATATTCGCTGGTGCGTAAAAGTAATTGGACAACGTTCTGTGATCTTTTCAAAACATCATCGGCGCCCGCGGACAAATTTTTTTCTTTTGTCCGTTTTTCGATAGAGCCGAGAAAAACTTTCGAAACTTTCGTTTTTGAACGGAAAAGGAGTAGGGTGGATAACGAGGTCGCATAGATTAGGGCAGATATCGTTGCCAACGCGGCTGTAGGAAAGCGAATAGAAGCGTCGATTTATTTGGTTTATTTTCTTTTTTTTTTTTTTTTTTTTCTTCGAGGAAGACGGCGGGATAAAAGACGGCGTATCGAGATATCGAGAAGAATACACGAAGATGGAATATCTTTAGATGTTGTTTCGCGTTGATCGATTTGAATTTTGCATGGAAAAATTGAAAAGAGAAGAATCAAATTCGTCGAAGTGAATTAATCTCGAGGGAATAATTTTCGCGCTCGTAGATTTCCGGCCGTCTCACTCCACGTCGCGGACGATACGCTGAAACGAAAATCCGGCGAGAGACGGATTATTGGTCGAGGAAGGGAAGGAAAAAAAAAAAAAAAAAAAAAAAAGAAAAAGAAAAAAACGGGGGAAGAAAAAGAAATCTTTAAGAATTAAAAGAAGATATATTATATTAAAATATCTGTGATGTAAAAAGTAACAAAATTTTGATGTATATTTTTCACAAATTATTGTAACCAGCTAGTGTATATGTGTAAGATTACGGATATAAAAGAAGAAAAAAAAAAAAAAAGAAAGAAACAAATACTATTGTAATTACGGTGTGTGGAGACAAAAAATGACGGAGTAAGAGAGAGCGGAATTTGAAAACGCCAACAAAACAAAAAGAAAAAAAGAAAAAAAAAGAAAAAAAAAACAAAACAAAGGAAAGGAAAACCGAAACAAAATATTGAGGGAGAAGCGAGATCGCGAGATTATATACGTTTATCCACACCGGTGGTCAGACGGGACCAAGATGGCGGGCATTGCTCGGAAAGTCGGGTCCAAAGATTCTCGTTTTTTCAAAGCTTTTTGCTCCATTTCGTTTAGGGTCGCGATATATTTCCTTATTACTTATTCTGGGGAACGGAACATTCGACCATCGAATCCTTCTCATTCTCATTGAAACGCGTCGAGAAAGGGCGGGAAATATGAGAAGGGGAGAATTTTAAGATAAATTTTTCGCAATATAAATTCTTCATCGTTGAAATTGAATCATTTTTATAAATCGTTTCTTCGTTGATACGTCTGTCTCGTAAAAAAAAAAAAAAAAAAAAATCGGATGCTTCTCCACCAAAAACTGGAAGATTTGGTCCGATTGGCCCTGAAACGGCTCAATGTCAGCTACCTCACAGAGTATCGTCACGTTTGGTATGGTTTGCGCAGGGGATGTTCGCGTGTTTCGGTTTCCGAAGCGAAATTGGATGGCTGTCCAATCAATCTCGATTCGTTTCTTTATCAACACGATCGTTCCTTTTAAAAATTATATATCTGTGGATCAAAATGCGGAGAAAAAACAAAACAAAATTTCATTTCGCCTCGACGATTAAGTAGAAGAAAACGGAATTTTGAACGGAACAATCGATCGACCATTGGCCAATCAGTTTCTTCGAACGGTAAACGCGCGAACTTCATTGGAGTGGGGGGTTGTGTGTAGAAATGGTCTAAACAGTTCCAAATTGTGCCTAAGTTTCGACGTTACGTTTTTACGACTCGCAACAGAACGAACGACGAATGTAATAACCGTAGCAACAAACTGAAGTTTTTTAGTTCGATGGTGGGGTTGTTCCAAAAATAATAATAAAAAAAAAAAGAAAGAAAGGAGGCAGTGAACGGGATAGAGGCAAAAAAAAAAAAAAAAGAAGAAAGGAAAAAAAATAAAAAAAAAAGAAGAAGCGATGGACGACTTTTAAGCTAAATTTTTAAAAAAAAGTATATTACCTCCGTATATACGTTCCAGGGCCGTCCGGCCGCCATCTTGCGTTCATTTTTACGTTCCGTTTTGTCGAATAAGTGCAATTAGGTACACTGACATCAGACACGAACAACACATACACGCAACTTCTACTCTTCGACACGCGCATTCACATACACATTCCATACTTACTTACACGCATACACACGCATGACAACAGACGTCGAAGAAAAATGATGAAAACGAACTGTTACGCGCTAGGTTACCGTGTTTTTAAATTCTATTTTCAATTCACGCATTCTCGAATGTTAGGATTTTCGTGATCAACGAAGAGCTGGCCTGTCGTTCACATAAGGATACACGTACACGTATACATACACACGTACAGAAACACACGAACACTTAATCACAGGATACATACACACATTCACACATACTCGCATACACTGCAAATAGCAGCCGACGTCGATTCGACGACAAAGTATGATATACGCCACTTTCAGTATCTTCGAACGCTCGTGCTTTTCTTCGTTCAATCTGGTTCTAGCACGATTATTCGTACGGTGACAAGTTTTTTTCGTACAAAAATTTAACGATCGCTCGTATTTGGATCAAATCCGGGCGTTTATTCGCCCCGTCGCGGTTTTTTAACCGCGAAAGAAAAGAAACGAAGGAACGAGGCACGCGTCCGATCGAGGATCGGAAAGGGGCGGAAGAAGAGAGTGGAAGAAATTACCGCCTGAACCAACGTATAGAAACCGAGATGGTACGGTCCGTCAACGGTCGAAAACTTGGTACCTTTCTAATTGGCTTTAATGATAAGCTCGTTGATAATTCGTAGGCTCTAGTCATGCAATGACTCTAAAAAAAAAAAAAAAAAAAAGAAGACGAGAAGTCGTCCCCCTCCCCCCGAGAAGCGATAGCGGGCGATCTTCATCGTAAATTCGTATACGTTAAAACCTGACGACGCGACGCGACAAGAAGAAGAAACTTTTACCGATTTGTGTTCAATGGGCGAACAAGTCGACAAGGCGTCGATTCGACGTCCGGCTCTGTACACCGATATATAATTATATATAGAAACTTCTAACGCGTACGCGCGTTGAGCCGCGCGCACGCGCGATCGCGCGCGCGACCCACGCGCAAGGGAAGGAATCTAAATAGATAGGTAGATAGATATACGAGAAAAAAGAAGAAGAAGAAAAAGAAGAAGAAGAAAAAGAAGAGAAAGAGAAAGAAAAAGAAAAGGGAAGAAAAATCGGAATCGATTTGAAAGCGCGAGAATGAGGAAAGAAAGAGGGAAAGCCAGTGCTCGACCACGCCTCCGACAACAGTCCGAATCGCGGATTCTCCTCGTATTGCGACTGACAGCGATTTCTTTGCAGAGCTCTCTCGCGACAATTGCGGAAACGAACGAGCTACGCGAAATCATCCGTTCTCGCTGCCTATTGGAAGAAAATTCTTTTTTTCATTATCGGGCACGCGATTCGTGTGCTCTTCGATTCGGGACACCCGCGGAAAGACAGCTGCGATCGGTCGGTACTCGGTCGGTATAGACGCTCGTACTGCTTATCGACGCATTTTGATTAAACCTTTTGTCGAATATATTTTTCGTGTATCGTTGCGCGATTATTCGATCGTCGGATCGATCAATCGGGATAAAATTAAAAATCGGTTCGGTTGATGAAATTCAAATGTTTCGGGGAATCTAAAAAATAGAGAGAGTGAGAAAATAAATAAACATATATAGAGCGATGTAAAGAAAGACGCGCGATCGCTGCTGCATATATCCGTATATCAACGGGCGTCAACGGGTGAAAACGGGAGTTCGTGAAATAAATATATTATTCGTCCATCAAAAGGTGATGTATTCTTTAAAGTACAATTACTTCTTGTTCCATATATACGAATCGAAATTACTTTCATGTTCCTATTTCGAAGTTTAAGGGGAGCGAACTGAGTCGAGTCTTGTTTGCGGCTAGAGCGATGCGTCCTCGTCGGTCGCGGATCTCATATTTCCGCGAAGGTGGCGGGCCAGATCGGAGGCGGTCGGTCACAACACTGACTATGCCTAGAAAACTTTTTCGACTAGTAGGCGTTAGGAAAACAAAAAATGGCGCCGGTACTACAGTTAGCACCGGTAGTACTCGTAGTTTGGCGCTTTAGTTGTTTGTATATCGCGTTCTTTCGTTCCTTTTCGTTTTTTTTTTTTTTTTTTTTTTTTTTTTTTTTTTTT